TATAATAATATATATTATATATATAATATATATTATATATTTATTTATGTAGTAATGTATAATTTGTTTTAAAGTTTTTTTTATTTGTATGTCTGTACTTCGCCTTTGAGTAAATACACCCAAATAAATTTATCTTTTTTAATGTTATATAATATGCATCCGCTTCTTTTGCTGCACAGCAGCAGCAGCATAAGCAGCAGCAGCAGCAGCAGCAGCACAGGTGCTGCAGCAGCTGCTGCTACTTCCTTCTTGGCTTGAAGGGTTTTGCTGCTAAACCCTAAACCCTAAACCCTAAACCCTGTCAATTCTTTGCACACATTTGTACTTCTCTTTAGTTAAGCAGCACAAGCAGCAGCAGAAGAGCAGCAGCAGAAGAGCAGCAGCAGAAGAGCAGCAGCAGTAGCACAAGCAGCAGCAGCAGCAGCTGCAGCACAAGCAGCAGCAGCAACACCACCAGCAGCTAGATAAGGGCTTAGACTAGCGGCAGCCGCAGCTCTAAACCCTAAACCCTCAATCATTATAAACCCTAGTCCTGTTGAGGGTTTACTGGGTGTCTCCTCTTTCTGCTAAGTGTCTCCTAGAGGGTCTCCTTTGCACGCAGACAGATGCTGCCGCTGCTGCTGCTGCTGCTGCTGCTGCTGCTGCTGCTGTGGAGGGAACCGTGGCTGGGGGAGGCACAGCAGCAGCAGCAGCAGAAGAGCAGCAAAGCAGCACCAGTAAAGCAGCAGCAGCAATAAAGCAGAAAAAAAAGATATAACAAACTCAGCGTTGGCCGCCCCAGTTCAGCAGCAGCAACTGCCGTTGCTGCTGCTGCTGCTGCTGCAGCTGCTGCTGTTGTAGCTGCTGCTGTCTACCGAGACGTACTCTCACCACAGCAGTGCAGGAGCAGCATGCAGCGGCAGCAACAACATGCTGCTGCTGCAGTTACAGTTTGAAAGGCAGCAGCAGCAGCAGCAGCAGCAACATGCATTTTGAAGTATGTCTAGTGTGTCTCCTTTTCATTCTTCTGCGGCATCGCGTGCTTCTGCTGCATGATCTGCTGCAGCGGGAGCTGCAGCAGCAGCACTTGCACCCCCCTTAGCAGCAGCACCAGCAGCAGCAGCAGGTGCTGCTGCTGCCTCCGAAGAGGTGAGGCCCAGTGACTCCATCGTAATGTTATCTTCAAGCCGTCCCTAAGAACAAAACGCAGCAGCAGCAGCAGCAGCAACAGCAACAGCAGCAGCAGCAACAGAAAGAGAGATGAGAAGCAGCAGGTTGTGTTGCTGCTGTTTTTAGTTGCTGCAGCACGACTGCTGCAGCAGCAGGATATGTATGAGGGCTTTTTCTGCTCCGCTTTTTTGCTGTTTCTGCTGCAACTACTACTACTGCTGCTGCTGCTGCTGCTGCTGCTGCTTGTGCTGCTGCTTACTGTGCATTCAGCAGCAAAAGAGGTTAAGCGGCAGCATGCATAACCCCATTTGCTTGTAGCTACATCATAATAAGAACCCCAGACAGAAGTATGAGAGCCCTGAAGCACATCTTCTTCGTATTTTGATTTTGTTAATGTTCGTTGTCTGCCTCTTAATATCCTGTAAACAAACATAGTATTATTTATTATTTTAGTTTATTTATTATCTGCTTCTTTTATCTTTCTTTGTTTATTTTTGTTGTATTCACTTCTTCTGTCTTTATTTATTTATGTCTTTGTTTCATTTGCTTCTTTTATGTTTTTATTAGTTTACTGTTTATATATCTATATATTAATTAATTAATTAATTAATTAATTTATTTATTTGTTTATTTATTTATTTGCGCGCGGAGGGGAGACACAAACAGAAAAACAAACGAAAGGAGACAGACAGTGAAAAGGAGACAGATAAAAAACAAAAATAAAATAGAGAGATATAAACAAACAAATAAAAAGATATAACAAAATAAACAAATAAACAAATACAAATAAAAGATAAATAAACAAATAAAAGATTAATAAATTAGAGACAAATAAAAGGGCGGAAAGGAGACAAATAAAAAAGTAATAGATAAACAAAAAGAAATATATTAAAAAAGAGTTATATAAAAAGAGACAAATAAACAGAGACAGACAAACAGAGACAAACAAACAAACAGAGACAAATAAACAAAGACAAATAAACAAAGACAAATAAACAGAGACAAATAAACAGAGACGGACAAAGGGAGACAGTGAACAGGAGACAAATAAACAGAGACAAATAAACGGAGACAGTGAAAAGGAGACAAATAAAGAAGAGACAAAACAAAGGAGACAGAAAAGCAGATGTATGACATCGAAACAAAACAAAAAAACAAAATAAAACAAATAAATAAAATAATTAATTAATTAATTAACTCAAATAAATAAAGAAATTAATTAATTAAATGAGTAATTAAGCAAACAAACAACTTATTTAACTTATTTAAGTAATTATTTAATTAATTAATTAAATAAATATATTAAATACATTAAATATATTAAATAAATAAATTAATTAATTAATTAATAAGTATATACCTTCCATCCTTAGAATATTCAACATATTAAATAAAATAAACAAATAAATAAACAAATAAACAAACTAAATAAATAAATTAAACAAATTAACTAACTAACTAATTAATAAATTAATTAATTAATTAATTAATTAATTAATTAATTAATTTATTAATAAGTATATACCTCCCATCCTTAGAATATTCAACATAGGCTTCAGTCTGGGCGTAGAGCACTCGGGTGTCTGCGACTAAATGCTCTTTGCCTCCGTATGTATCAAAGATATTTTTCTGTTTTTCTGTTTCTATTTGCTGAGAATAATTAATTAAATAAAACAAACAAATGCATAAAAAGATATGTTTATGTTCTATCAATCCTTCATATCAGACTAAGCAGCAGACTCTAATACATTCAACATATAAAGCAAACAAATATATATAAAATTAATAATATATAATAATAATTAATATAAATTAATAATGAAGGAGACATCTAAAGCAGCTAAATAAAATAAAAAGAGAAAGATATAAATTAATGTAATAATAAACATAAAAAGAGGTGAAGAAAAAAATAAACAAAAAGACATACACATCAACAGCAGCAGCAGCAGCAGGTATAGCAGCAGCAACACCAGCTACAGCAGCAGCCGCAGCAACAGCATCAGCTACATCACCAGCAGGAACAGCAGCAGCAGCAGCAGCAGCAGTATCAGCATCACCACCACCAGCACAAGCTACAGCCACAGCAGCACCAACAGCAGCAACTGCAGCAACAGCAGCAACAGCAGCAGCAACAGCAGCAGCAGCAGCAGCAGCAGCAGCTTCCTTACAGCTTTTTTCTTTTGATGTTCTTTATAGAGGAATTCGAGTTGAGTTGGTTGCGCATTGAAGTGTACATTTTGGCCGTGCTTATACGCCTCCCAAGCAAACAGCTGCGCGCAAACCCTAAACCCTAAACCCTAAACCCTAAACCCTAAACCCTAAACCCTAAGGGCTGAGGGGGTGACAGAGAGGCATTCATTCCCCACAAGATAAAGATATGCATGTGCACGGATCCTCGTAGATGATACAAACACACTTCTAACAAGGGTTTAAGGTTTGTATTAGGATTCAGGGTTTGTATTAGGGTTTAGGGTTTGTACTAGGGTTTAGGGTTTGTACTAGGGTTTACGGTTGGTATTACGGTTTAGGGCGTATGCAGGTGTTTTAGGGTTTAGGGTTTGTGTAGGGTTTCAGGGGTTTAGGGTTTAGGGTGTATTGAGAATTTAGGGTTTGTTGATGGTTTAGGGTTTAGGGATTGGTTAGGGTTTAGGGTTTGTATTCCGGTTGCCTAGGGTTTAGGGTTTATTGTTCATTCTAGGGATTGCTGCTTAGGGTTTAATATTTATAATTTAGGGTTTAGGGTTTGCTGCGTATTGCTTATTGTGACATGTAAAGTGCGTCTGAACGCCGCTAAGGTTTAGGGTTTACGGTTTAGGGTTTAGATATGAACGCTACTAGGATCTAGGGTTTTGGTCTGAACGCCGCTAGGGTTTAGGGTTTAGGGTTTAGTTAGTAACAGCGCTATTGTTTAGGGTCCAGGGTTTAGTTATGAACAGAGCTAGGGTTTAGGGTTTAGTTAGTAAGAGCGCTAGGGTTTAGGGTTTAGGGTATAGTTTGTAAGAGCGCTATTGTTTAGGGTTCAGGGTATAGTTTGTAAGAGCGCTAGGGTTTAGGGTTTGGTGTATAGGGTATAGTTATTAAGAGCTGCCGAATGACGGGTTTAGGGTTTAGGGTTTAGGGTTTACTTGTAGTTGCTGGGTAGCTTTAACTTCTCCCGCTTGAAGAAGGGCGTTGTCGCCTCTGAAAGTAGGTTTGATTTGCTGACTAAGATGCTTGAACGGGTCTTCGCGCATGCTTCTGCTCTTAGGGTCGTAGAAAGCAGAGTTAAGATCAAGATTAAGAAGATACTTAGCAGTGTCTTCACGGATACGTAGGTCTCTAGTATTTATCCTGCTGCGTTCGTCTGTACACTCTACTGGGGCTGATGTTTTATCAAACTCTTTTAGTTTTATCCCTGAGTAACCCTTATCTTCTTCTTCATTTGAGCCATCGCTATCTGTATCTGTATCTGTATCGCTATCTGTATCGCTATCTCTTTCTTCTTCATCACTCTCTTCTTCATCTTCTGCTGCTTCGGCTGCTGCTGCTGCTTTTGCTGCTGCTGATGCTGCTTCTGCTGCTGCTGCGGCTGCTTCAGGGTCGTCTCCTGCGGCTTGTGCTTCTGCTGCTGCTGCTGCTGCTGCTGCAGCTTCTGCTGCAGCTTTCTTTGCTGCTTGTTTTTCTTCTTTTTTTTGTTGTTTTAATAATTTTTCAGCTCTACGTTTCTGTCTCCTAAGTCTACGCTGCTGCTTGAGCTGTCTCCTTTCTGCAGCAGCAGGTTCTTGCTGCTGCAGCAAGTGCTGCTGCTCTCTTTGTTTTTGTTTTTTTCTTTCTAGTTGTGCTGCTTCATATTCTTTAATCTGCAGCATAAAATCGTCCCCTGTATATCCACCGTATCTGTCTCTCTTTGCGTCGTATGTTAGTTTAGGCTCAGCAGCAATTATCTCATCAGCAGCAAGAGACTTATTAGTATAAGCAGCTAACTTAGCACGAGGTCTCTCTGTACAAAACTTTGCTGCATGCGTTCTGCTGCCGCAGTTTTTACACGAGCCTTTACACCATTTGATCTTTTTATTTTTATCTGTTTCTTTTATTAAACCTCTTTTAAACCAGGTGTCTATACTTGCTTTCTTCTCTTCAACATATCTTTGATGCTTTAGACCCGGTGTCTCTTGATTTAAGTACCACGGTGCTTTAGATATATATTGAGGTATATGAGGGTTTATCTCTTTACCTTCTTCGTCTCTCTCTGCTTCTGCTGTACCCGCCTTACGGGCTTCTTCTAGTTGCTTCTGTCTTCGCACCTCTTCTCTAGACTGAAAGCTCATCTTCTTATTCACTCCTGCTGCTGCTGCTGCTGCTGCTGCTGATGCTGATGATGATGATGATGATGCTGTTGATGGTGAAGCTGTCTTCCTGCTGCTTATGATGATGCATAAGCTTATGCTTATGCTTATGCTGCTGCTGCTGCTGCTGCTGCTGCTGTTGATGGGGACTATGATAAAGTTGTCTTGCTGCTGATAGATAGTGTTGCAGCTGCTGCTGTTGTTGCTGCTGCTGCTGCTATAGCTGTATTGATGCTACTGGTGTTGCTGCTGCTGTTCGGGGTGCTGTTCTTGCTGTTGCTGTTGCTGCTGCTGTTGCTGCTGCTGCAGCTGTTTTGCTGTTGACGATACGAGTGCTGCTGCTGCTTGTGCTGCTGCTGCTACCAGAATGTGCTGCTGAGCACCAGCTGCAGCTTCTTTGCCTCTTAAAATCTCTGCAGCAACACTCTGCTGCTGCTGCCGCTGCTGCTGCTGCTGCTGCTGCTGCTGGGGGTTGCTGCGGCCTTCTGCTTGAGAGCAGATGAGCAAATACAAACAAAAACAATAAACGATTTCCTAAAAAACAAGAGAGAGAACTGCTGCAGCAGTAACCGCAGCAACATGCAAACCCGAGGTTTTAAAGGGGCCCCCGCTGCAGCAGCAGCAGCAGCAGCAGCAGCAGAAAACGCTG